TTCAGAAGTACACATCTGTGATTCAACAGTCTTGCACAATTCACAGCACTCACCATAGCACATACCCTCCCCAATGTCTGTCACCCAGCCACCCCATCCCTCCCACCACCCACCACTCCAGCAACCCTCAGTTTCTTTCCTGAGATTAAGAATTCCTCATATCAGTGAGGTCATATGATACATGTCTTTCTCTGATTGACTTATTGCAATGACGTGGATGGAAGTGGAGGGTGTTATGCTGAGTGAAATAAGTCAATAAGATATTTCTTAACAGGTTCAAAACTGAGAGTTTTGTTGCTTTTAAGTCACTTAAAATTTTTAAATGCATTTGAAGGGGGCACGTTGAAGAGGTTTTATCTAACCTCAGTTTCAAAAAAATGCCATTTTGCATACTCTATAGCACACTATCCTAAGAAAGAAATAAGTTAACAGTATAAATAGGATATGCTCCCATTGCACAGTGTTGCCAGATCTCTGAATAACATAAACAGAAATACTTATCAAAGAGGAAAGGATAACAGGAACAAAATTACAGCAGTCCACTTATTTGAATCCTTTTAGGTTTTAATCTCCTACCTCTTTTAATCTAAAAGAGGTAGGAAAGGGGTGCGTGCGTGGTTCAGTTGGTTAAGCATCTGCCAACTCTTGGTTTTGGCTTAGGTTACGATCTCAGGGTCGTGAGATCAAACTCCATGTTGGGCTCTGCACTGGGTGTAGAGCCTGCTTAAGATGCTCTCTCTCCCTCTTCTTCTGCCTTTCCCCACTCCCTCTCTCTCTCTCTCTCTGTCAAAAAAAAAAAAAAAGGTAGGAGAAAGATCTAGAATGAGGCCTATTTTTTCCGATGCTTTATCACTTCCAAATCACAGTCAAGAACTGATCTATAATATACTGTCTGTTTTCACATTCTTTTGACTGGTAAAGTAAAAGTAAGGAAAAAATGATCAACATGAATCTTTGGAAATCTTTGGAATTTAAGAGAGGCTACCTTCCTACAAACTTTTTGTAGTTATTTTAACCAGAAGACATCTTTGTGTAGTCCACAAAACTTGGATCTCAGTAATTTAAACATCAAATTCTGCATTCTATCTGCTATGTTGCGTTGAAAGCAGAGTCAGCTTTTCTCAGCTTGTCATATAATGCTTACCTTTCAGAATTGCTGTGAGGATTAGATAAGACATGTATTTCCTTTATGCCCTCTGTGGAATTCAATAGGCATCATAAAAAGAAGGCCTCTCTGGCCAGAATGTCTGTCCTGGCCGGAAAACCAATGTTTGAATTTGTAGCCATGTCCCCAGTTAAAATGTAGAAGAGGTGGAAGTAGGGGAGGCAAGAGATAGTCACAGACTTTATCTCCTTCAAGGTTTTTTCTGACTTTTTCTGTCTTCTGTATCTTATACCTGAGGTTCTGCCTGATTTGGTGCTTGGACACAGTCTGTTTTTGTATGTATACTCTTAGATACCCGCACTTCCTTCTCCTGGCTTTTCTGGATTCCTATTTCTTGTCTCCTTATCTCCTTTCTTTGAAGGTTTGTCAGAACATATAACTTCACCATCCAAAACTTTCCAGGGGCTTCCCATCTCACTCAAATTCTAAGTCATGTCCCTGCAAATCTCCCTGTCACCCGTAGGTACCTATTTGACCTCATCTTTTGTAGTGTCTTTCACTTAATTCCTGCCTCTTTGGCCTCCCTGCTCTTCCTCCATTACACCTACACTGGGCTCCCCCCACGGCTTTTAAACTTGCTATTACCTCTATGTGTGGGAGGGGTGGGGGGGAGGTTGGAGGGGAAGGTAAAAGTGTGGGGATCCTTTAAACTTGCTATTACCTCTGTGTGTGGGGGCGGTGGGAGGCGGTTGGAGGGAAGGTAAAAGTGTGAGGATAGAGGGGAGGGGAGAGCTCCTCCCACAGATGTCCATGCGGATAGCCTAAATAGCTTTTGCCCAGAATATTACCTTCTCAGGAAGGTCTTCCCTCAGCACTCCCATTCCCTTTCTTGTTTCATTTTTCTTCATCAGCATTTCTAACACTTTGTAATGTGCTAGTATATTTTTTATTGCCCATCCCCTCCTCATTCAAGTGTAAACTCCACAAAGGCAGATATGTTGTCTGCTTATTAACTGGTATAAACCCAGAGCCTAGAAAAGTGCCTACCACCCAGTAGGTGCCGAGTATATCCTTGCTAAATGTATGAGTGAATCCCTAACTCTCTCCCTAGGAATGGAAAAGAGTTCAACCTAAAGGTTTAGGTGTGTATAGTAAAGGAAGAGCATGGTCTCTAGAGCCAGACAGCTTGGGTTCAAGTCCTGGCTCTATCACTAACTGTCTGGGTAACCTTGGGTAAAACGTATAATCTCTATGCCCTGCCCTTTCCTTATCTATAAAAGGAGACTAATAATGGTGCCTACCCCATTAGGTACCTACCCCCTCCTTCCCATTTCTTTGGGTTAAGTTAAGCTGAATTAGAGAGTGTGTGAACTGCTCCATATATTAATTATTTTGGCTCACTATACTATTTGACATTAAACTGGCCCTGCCATATTAAAGCCTGTACTAAGATTTTATGTAGTAAAACATTATTTTATTCAGGAACAGCATATTTAAATTTACATATGTGTAGCCTTGAAATGTACCTTTGTGCTAAAAGTTTACTATGTTAAATAAACTGTAACATATTTACTATAATTAAGAGTAAATTACATTGCAGGGGATAGTCTTTAAATATCCAATTTAAGGGATTGCCCTCTAACCCCTAAAATTACCTTGGCATTGATCTGTTGTACTGAAATGATATCTTAATTACAAATGGTTTTTATTAATTTTGTAAAGCAATTCCTGGCTAACACTTACTTGAAATCATATCCATTATACTTCAGTAAAGCTGGGGGGAGAAGAGAAATCATATTCATATAATTAAAAGCAATATGATGACATTTCCTTAAAATATGTTCTATGGTTCAACCAGGGCAATATTTAGATACTCTGATTATTGATTAGGGATACAAACAAAAGTTTTCTAAAATGGAAGCTTATTTGTTTGTTAGTTCTTATTGCTGTTCAAGTCTATAATTTCAGCAGATGGAGAACAGAACCATCTTTCATTTAGCAAATATTACTAAGCTCCCACTAGGCACCACTGTGCTAGATGAGGAATGCTTTGATAGCAAGAAAGCACAGTCCCTGGCCTGACAGGTGCCTTACAACTGAGACTTGATTTGTGTCACAATCTTTATGCAGGTCACACAACTGGTCTCTCATTAAACAATGACCGGCTGTACAAACTCACATATTCCACTGAAGTTTTTCTTGATCGGGGCAAAGGAAAACAACAAGACAGTGTAGGCTACCGAATTTCATCTAATGTGGACGTCATCTTACTCTGGAGGAACCCTGATGGCGACGATGACCAAGTGATCCAAATCACAGTAGGTATCTTCTACCAGAGATGCAAAGATTGGATGTCAGCAAAGTCTTTGTGAAGTGTATCATTCAATGCTTTTGTGCTCTTCGTTATATATCCATTTAGTTTGTTATCTATCACTAAAATATGTAGATCTGCAGTTTTGAAGTTTTTGCTAATCAAAAGTGATCTGGTCTTTCCAAGTTGTTGAAACAAGCAAAAGAAGGCATATGCTGGTGAGTAACTGTAGCATGATGTTCAGTTCTATGTTTTGGATTAATGGGCACATTAAACTAGAATTCATTTGAGATGTTCTAGGTGTAAGAAGTCTAGAATCCATGTCATTTGAAAAACAATTAAGACCACTCTAGCTAAAAGAAGAGATAAATTGGGAGGTCTCAATTTTTCTGAGTTCTTCCATATAACAAATAGAATTACCAATGAAAGAATGAACCTATTCTGTGTTCTTCCTGAGGTAAGAACCAGGTGCTGTGTCCTGAATGGCAGTGTTTGGTCAGTTATGATAATTTAGATTTATGTGTTGAGAAAGGAGGTCAAATTAGTTGGCCTTTGAGGCCTTGAACTTTCAGTTTTAATATATGGTGATTCCATATTTGCTTTCAAGGGCCTAAAGGCAATAGATTTCTCTAGTAAAGTCAGTTATTCTTCCACATGTTAGTGTGAAACAGGTACACAGGACCAAGATCTATCTGTTCCCTTACAACTGATAAGAGTTGTTGATAAACTTTATAATGAGGTGTACCAAGTGATCTTTGCTTCTTTGGATGTCTCTCATAGCTCTTGTGTCTTCTAAGTTGGATCAGAACTTCATCATCCACCTCTCTGAGCTATTTCTCAATAGAACAGTAAAGTACTCTATGGAAACCATTAGGTACTTCCTTATTCAGTAACCAGACTGTTCACTTTTAACTTTGTGTATGTAAGTGAAGTACAGTGGGTTAGGATTCCTTTCAAAAAAATGGTAAAGAAAGTGAAGAGACCAGGCAGACAGCAACAGTCAACATGAACAAGGAGAGTGACTGACAAAAAAGAGCCACCTTCCAGTCATAATTATTGTAAACCTGAATTCACAGATTTCTTTAAGAATCAGTATTTTTACCCAATTCAAAAACCCAATTTTTGGATACCTTCTCCATTCTTTTAAAGTTAATGGCTAAGTCCTATGAATCATGAATTGAAAAACAACAGAAAACATTATGGACAACCCTGCTTATTGCTTTACCATTTTATTTTCTAAGAGACTGTGATAAAATAGATATAGCAAGTTTTTCTAACAGGTTTCTTTCCATGATTCCAGATGCAAGATGTAAATGTTGAAAATGTGAATGAGCAGAGAGGAGAGAAGAGCATTTTCAAAGGAAAAAACCCACCCAAAATCATAAGAAAAGAAAACTTGGAAGCTTTACAAAGACCTGTGCTCCTTCATCTAGTCCATGGAAAGGTAAAAGTGATTTTTGGGGGTCCTACATCTTTTTTCTCCTACTTCAGATTTTTCTTCCCTTCAGTAGTTATTATTTTGAGGTAATCATGATATCATTACTTTCATAGTACATGGAGCTTTTTCAAGAACTAATAAGTAGAGATTGCAAATTAAATACTTCAGAAGTAAATCAAGGCATTGAATTAACATATTTTTTAGCCATTTGTTTCTCATTTTTATGAAAATCTTTATAGTAGAATCAAGTATTTGTTTATTTAGAGGCATTCTTAAAAGGTATATTATTAAATTAGGAAGGATCAGAAAGATATTGTAACACACTAGGTCATCACAGGTGATTGTGTACATCATTCAGGAAAGTAGACAAATTATGAGATTAAAATGATCTAACTTAGATTAATGATATTAACTAATGAGAATATCAGTATCTGGCTAATGTACAAAAGCTTTTGAAAGGGCATGGCATTCCTAAGGTAGAATTGATTTTTTTTAAAAAGCACTTAGAGCTTATTTAAAAACTATGACTTTCAAAAGCATTTTGTATACCAAAGTAAAGAATGAACACTATAATAACCATTTGAAAGTTTGCTCAGAGAATTCTATAAGTGTGCATTACTTATGATTTTATTATAGTCTATTAAAATGGTCTAAATATGTTTGGAATTGAGACACAATTGTGATCAGTGAATTACTAGGCATTACATATGTGGGCTTATGAAAAGCATAGAGATTATATTGACATACATAAAAATGTATCTGTAAAGATGCTCAATTTTAGGTACTAAAGTAGAAAAACAATAAGAGATCATTAGAGCTAAAATGCTACACATCTCCAAAATGTCTCTAGATTAAAATTATCTAGATTCAAAATAAAGGTGAAAGCAAATACTTTAAATTATATATTTCAGACATGTGATGTATTGCTAATAATGCTGTGCATTTTTATAGAAAGTACTAAAAAGGGATTCTTGTGTTGTTACTTCTACAATCAAATATGAATCCCCATCTCAAGAATGCCTCTCTTCTCCTTGTCAAAATACTTAGCATGCCTCAGGCTTTGCTCACAGGCCCTTTCTTTTATAAAGTTTATGTCCTTCCAACCAGTTAGAAATAACCACCCCTCTTTAAAACTCTCTTAGCACGTTGTAGCTCACTCATGGACCCTTATCACTATCCTTTTGGTCATTTGCGTTCATTACTAGATTATGGGTTTCGGTAGAGAAAATTCCCATACCTCTTTATATTCCAGGCCCTCCCTCTCTCCTTCATGCCCTTCCACTCCCTTCCTCCCCAAAGTACCCAGAACCGACTGACCTGGTGTTCCAGAAGACTTTCCTGGTGTTCCAGAAGACTTTCCCTGCATTCTCCCAAACTCCATATTCTCCTAGGCTTGTTTCTATTTGGTGTTTATCACAGTATGTTGAAATTCTCTCTTTGTCTGCAGTCAGTATTCAGAGTGAGCTCATGAGCAGCAATTGTGTCTTTAACTCTGTATATTCAGTGCCTTGCTCATAGTGGGGACTCAATGAATGTTTGCAAACTAAAGGAATGAGCATATAAGGATACCTGGGGCTAAAATGAGTTGAACTTTGAAAGTGGCTTTGGTTATTGTTTGCTTAATAATAGCTAAATCAGACTGAGCACTTATTGTGCACCAGAGGCTGAAGGCATTACATGAATTATCTCTTCTATCCTCAGGACTGCTCTGGGAAGCATCTTGTAATAGATGAGGAAACCAAAGTTAAGAGCAGTAAAGAAATTTGCCTAGGGTCACACAACTGGCAAGTGGTGGAGGTGGTATTAAAATAGAAGCTCTAATTTCAGAGGCTAGGTTGGAAACCTCTACATTATACTGTCTTCCAGCTGTAATGATTTGGGGAAGTATCACCTCTTTGGTCGACTTTTAATATTCCTATTTCACCCTTCAATGTATCTATTAACTCACTTGATTTTCATATGGCACAACAACATGAAATACTGTCTTTTTCCTCTCTGGCCTTCCAATGTGGAAAGACACTTGAGCCTGTAAAATATTAGTTGCGTTTATAATCTTAATGACAACCTACCATTTTATAGCCCCTTGGGTAGCAGTTGAGTACAAAGTCTTTTGTTACACACACAAAAGGACTCGGTGCCCTCAGTGTTCAAAGGCTGGGATGGAGCTGCCACATCATTATTTCAGTGACTCCAACATGCCAATTCTATACGAGCTGTGATTGTAATGATTTACAATAGCCTCAGGTTAAAGTGCGCTGTGGTATCTATCAATGATATGATAAAGGACTCGTTGGAAAAAAAAAATATGACCCTGGAGACTAAGAAGCCATGTGGAATTTTCAGCCACATCACTGTCAGAAAGATCATTATTTAAATGATCACTTCAGTTTACTATGAGAGGAATTATGAAAGGAAAGGCTGAACTGCTGATCAGCAGTTTTTTTTTTTTAAAGTATGTTCTACCCCAGGCTCAAATTAAGTTTTACCCCCTGAAATTTCTGTGATTTCAAGGATGCTCAGCAGTGTGTGTTTTTTTGTCCTTCCCGAGCCCCTGTTTGAAGCTCCTATATTTACATTATAAAAGAGAGCCCATTAAAACACTCAGATGAATATTTATTGCACATCATCTTTTTTCCATGCCCACTCATCTTCCCTACATAGGTGTTTGGGCATGGCTCTAGTTTTGTCTACAAATCATAAGTGAAGTTGGAAACATGACAGTTTCCTGGTTAAGTTGATTAACACTGACAAGCAAAAGATGCATGGATTCTTTTTTGGGCCTGAAATGCTAATCCAATTAACTGGATAATTATCAGATTTCCATTTCTGGTTTTCACTGTCAGTATTGATTAAATTAACCACATGGCTGCTGAGCTGGTGCTTTATTTTGTGTTGTTTCTAGGCATTGATTTGTTCTCTGAATCTGGCAGTATGGCTCCTTTACACACGCTGAACCTCCATGAGAAATATGACACCTTGAAAACCTTCAATTCTTCATATATATCTTCTCTTGTCTGTTTTCCAATGTGTCATTGCCTAGCTATACTCTGTTAGATATATATATCAAAGATATATTTAGAGACATAGCTCCAGCTAAGTAGATTAAATAAAATGATTAGTCTGTTTGCTGGGATTCTTTTTATTTTTGCTGTTTGGGCCAGTTAATGGAATTTTACTTTCTCTTATTCTTAAAGAATGTATAAATTAAGGGGATGTATAGATGCATTTTTTTTCCTAAGGAAGAAATATGAATCCCTACTGATTCCAAGGCAAAATTGGCCCTCAAAATTTGACAGCAAGAGGCACTGCATCGCCTTCTCCACAACTCACCCATCTTCCTCTAGTTTCCTTGGGTTTAAGACTTAGTTTGTAACTGGCTGGCGTCCCTGTTGCTTTCCAGAAGCTGTGGCACTGTGAATTTAGATAAGAGTCCTGTGCTCTCAGATATTCAGATTTCATTTCAGAACTGAATGAAGTAAATCAGCTTTATGGCCTAAATGTAATAAAACTTACTTGGTTCCTGTTGTAAAATAATGAATTTAAGATTATTGCTGTGACAGCCACATGGATTGAACTGCAAAGTTCTGACTTATTATTTTTTTAATTATCGAGAACCTACTCAATTTTAACAGTTTTGACATTTAGCTAATATGGATACCAGAGCTGTCTTTACTTTGAATCTCATTGGTCTGCACTAAAAGAACAGTATTTAGGCCCCAAAGATAGCAGTCATACACGTGAGGAAAGACAGATTTGTCCATTTTTCTAGTTTTAGGGAAACAATAAAAATTAATAGAAGAATAAAAAAAAAATCTCTTTTTGTCTTCCAGTTTACATTGTTCAATCTGTTAGGGGAAAAAAGTTGCTAACACCATTTTCTTAGAGATCTAGCAGAGATCTAGCAGTCAAGATCAAAGCTTGATCCGTAGACATGGGCCATTGATAAAAGAGCATTTAATCTTTTCTGTAGTCCAAAGATTAAATCAGAGAACTAGGTTTCCTGAAATTTTAAGTGAAACTTTATATAAATACTTAAGGCACAGTTTATAGCCTGGAAGGAAAGTGAGGATACTGATGACTGTACAAGTATTTTCACCATTTAATGGCTCCTCTTTGCTTTCTGAAGTACTTAAGACTCAGGCCATAGGCTATACATACTGCCAGTCCTTCTGGCCGTGTCTGGGTTTAAACGATCCACTCATGAACCTTTAGCAATCATGGTATCTGGAGATACCTCCCAGAAATTTGAAAAGGAAGTTACACTGTAATTCTGAAAAGGAAAGAAGACCCAGTTTACAAAATAGAACATCAGAAACTCAACCTTGGATCTGAGAAATTGCCGGTGATTTGTTTGAGAATATGATACTATGGATTTTCAGATGCTGAGGTCACCATTCCAGTTCCTTTTTAACCTGGAAAAACACAATTCCAACTTTTATAAGTTCGTTCAGTATAATGACTAAAATTGATTGCTGGATAAAGTACCTAGTAAATTTGTCACTAGGCAGAGTATACGTAGAAAATACAGATAGAGATTTGAGGCACTTGTTTGGCTAATTCAGGCAAAATATTCTCTTCTAAGGTATGAGAGAATTTTCCTATAGGTTGAATTGTTCAGATTGGTATTAACTGAATTCATTGCATGATTACTGAGCTTTCTGTTTTGCTTGAGAAATCATGGTTGGTTTCAAGCTTGAGAAATCATGGTTGGATATTTCCAGTAGGAATGCTCAGCTATAATTACCATAGATCTTGGGGATTTTTACAAGGAAGCCATATCCATCCTCTGCTTCTAAATTGTGTGAGGTGTTTGGAGTTAATACAGGGTGAAAAGTGACAGACTTTCCAGAAAATTCTCTTTGTATTTTTATTCTTGTTTCTTAAACATGACCTAAATTTTCAAAGTGGTATGAGACATTGTTATCACCCCTGGGCCTATAAATATCAAGGATAAAACAAAGCTAGGCCATTGACTATTACAGACAAGTCACAGTCATCCTCCTCATTTCAACCTCATTTCCTGCCTTCTGAAGGGACTCAAAGCAGCGCCTGTGGCAGGCCATGCAATGGTAGCAATCTCAACCTCAAATCCTCCAACCATCTCTATCTCCTTATATCCAGAGTCAACATGAATGCTCTGGAGGGCCAGAGAAAGTCACCCCTGTGGAATTTTGTCCATGGGCATTATGACCATGTCATAGCCCTTAGAGGTTGTGCTAAGCTCACGAGTGTCAAGTATGGTAATTGCCATTCTCTTCCAATAACTGATTTCTTTGTTATTTTATTTTTTATTTTATTTTATTTTTAAAGATTTTATTTATTTGAGAGAGAGAATAAGAAACAGAGAGCACGAGAGGGAAGAGGGTCAGAGGGAGAAGCAGACCCCCCTGCTGAGCAGGGAGCCCGATATGGGACTCGATCCCGGGACTCCAGGATCATGACCTGAGCCGAAGGCAGTTGCTTAACCAACTGAGCCACCCAGCCGCCCCCTTTGTTATTTTATTTTATTTTTTTTTCTTTTTAGATTTTATTTATTTATTTGAGAGAGAGAGACAGAGATAGTGAGAGACAGCACAAGTGGGGAGGAGAGGGAGAAGCAGGCTCCCCGCAGAGCAAGGAGCCTGATGCGGGGCTCGATCCCAGGACCCCAGGATCATGACCTGAGCCGAAAGCAGTCGCTTAACTGACTGAGCCACCCAGGCGCCCCGCCCCTTTGTTATTTTAAACATTGGTTCATTTTTGTTTCAGGCAGAGTTACAGGTAGGGAACATATTGATATGTTCAAAGAAAATATTCCCGATCTCTCTTCCTTGGGCAATCCTTGCTTTCACAGAAATCCCAGTCTAAATCGGTGCCCTTTTTCCTTCCCTAGGCTATGTCCATCATGTTCAGAGCCTTAATTATCTGTCTCCCAGAATTTTATATTTTCATGGTCTAGCTTCTTAGGAACTTAAATAACATCTTTTCATAAAAAAAGAAATCCCAGCTTTGGAGTAACAGATCTCTGTGTCCCAGATTGATAGGGGTGAAAATCTGATCTTTCCTGCTAATTATTTAACCAAATTGATAAATGATGCATTTTTGCTTCATATATGTTTGTCTTTTTTTCCCCCTAGGTCAAAGAGTTCTACTCATATCCAAATGAGCCAGTGGCCATAGAAAATCTTAAGAGAGGCCTGGCTAGCCTATTTCAGATGCAGTTAAGCTCTGGAACGACCAACGAGGTACTTATTAATATTAAGGATCCAGAATATCATTTGTCAATAGTTACCAAAATTGCTCATATGGAGCAATACAAATAGAAATTTGTAGAAATTCAGTAAAAAAGTTACCTACTATGGTAATGCTCAGAAAAGGTGAGTAGCATGGTTAAGTCTCACTTACATGTGAAACAAATTGCCATTTACCCCAATTTGTACTCAAATACAGGATGAAGGAAATTAGAATCCATTATATTAAGGAGCCTTACGGAATGACTAAATGATAGAGATGGAGAAAACGTTGGGGAGCATTTCAGTGGCATCACTGTACATCACTATCCCATGGGGACCTTATTTAAGATATGGATTCCCTGCAGAGGTTCTGATTCAGTAGATCAGGGAGGACCTGAGCATCTGTATTGTAAGTTTTCTCAGATAGTTTGGACATATTGTCAGTTTGGGGAACCAGTGGTCTATACCAACCCCCTTCATTTTACAGATGAAGAAGCTGAGATTAAACTAGAGAGGTTAAGTGGCTCCCCCAGTATCACACTTTGAGCCAAAGGCAGAGCTGAGTCTGAGTTACCTGTTCTGAATTCAGCCAACCCATGAGTGGGTGAGAAAATCTAATTGGCAGGGCTGGGCCAAGGGAGTATTGAGTAGTTTACTAGAATAAAGGCTACGTGTGGTGCTGGTCGAGACCCAAGGGAAGGCTCAGAGAAGCTAAACAATCTGTACTGGTATACATTTGCCCACACTCAAATTGTTAATGTGACTTATAATGAGTTGAATTAATCCCACAAGTTTTTAAGGATTTCTAATTATATTCAGCTAGTCAAAGAGCACGTGCACACACATACTCATATCTAGATACAGCATTAAAAGTCAGATCCCCTTCATAATTATCCACTTACCAGAGGTTTTGATTATGACCAGGCCATTTGTCCAATTCTTACTAGATGTTAGAGAGAAGTAGGAAATCCTTTATTTTTACTGGGGCAATAGAAGGTGCTGATAAGACTCAACAAAAGAGGATGGAAAAGAATCCACATGCTTCAGGAAACACTGAATTCTTCCTATCCTTCTGTCTTGTCAGCCTGGACAAAAAAGCAGTCCCCCACGGCAATATTGGGAACTCCAATTTTCAGGCTGCTTCCCACTGGAATTTAAACGGTCCATGTGACAACCCCAAAAGCTGTATTTTTACTTTTCTTTTTAGGTAGATATCTCTGGGGATTGTAAGGTGACATACCAGGCTCATCAGGACAAAGTGACCAAAATTAAGGCCTTGGATTCATGCAAAATAGAGAGGTCTGGATTTACAACCTCAAATCAGGTATGATTGATATCACCCTCTTTAAGGCATCCAAGTAATTACATTTTGTAGAGATTAATTTAAAATAATAGAAGAATAAGGTAACAATATAATTTGGGAACATTTATAATTTTTAGTTTAGGGTATTATTTCACAAAATACCAAATGAAAAAGGTTTATTTTCATATGTTATAAGTTTGGGTGGTGAAGGGAAGGTATTAAGAGGAAGCTCTTGAGCACTGGGTGTTATACGCAAACAATGAATCATGGAACTTTACATCAAGAACTAATGATGTAATGTACAGTGCTTAACATAACAAAATAAAATTTTAAAAAAAGAGGAAGCTCTTTAGAAGATTAGAAGAGAGTTTGCTATTTGACTTGATTCAAAGATAAAAAGCTGATTGTTACAACTCCAAATATTTATTTATTTATGTATTTATTTATTTAGGTCTTGGGTGTCACTTCAAAAGCCACATCTGTCACTACCTATAAGATAGAAGACAGCTTTGTTATAGCTGTGTTCGCAGAAGAGACACATGCTTTTCGGATGAATTCCCTACAAACCATTGCAGGCAATATAGTATCAAAGTAAGATAATGATGAAATTTAAATTTTCTTTCCTATTCTTTGATATATTATTATATTTGATTTTTAAATATACACGTTAGAAATGTTAAATGTATGTATGTTTTATATATATATTACATATATATAGTGCTTCCTTAGTTTGACTATTAGTTTCTTGAAAACTGTGATTATATCTTGTTCACCTTTAGTTTTCACATCATCTACAATAATATATGGAATATATTAAATACTGTTTTTAATAGAATTTCATTTAAAATTATATCAATCATTTACTGAATAGATTTACATTTTAAAAAAGCAAACTACTTGATTCATTCTAGTTTATTTTCTAATTTCTCTGTCAGATCTTTCCAATGGTAAGGTTAAAAAGTGGTGGCATTTGCATGTTTTCTCCTTGAGATTTCTGTTGTTGTTGTTCATGTTGTTGTTGTTAAGAAACACATAAAAAGTTGTTATTGTTTTTAAGAAACACATAAAAAGTTCCATAGTAAAGTGATACGACAGGATTTTTATATTTTTGATTAATAATACCATATTCAAGCCCATTATTTCAGTGTGAGAAAATTTCTCTGGTCAGAAGTTCTCAGGGGCTTAAGAACTAGAACTTTCAAATCTAAGAGTATATGTTATTTTCAGATTTTAATTTAGAAGATTTCCTAGCATTAAATGTATTCTACCTTATGCCATCGCTTGTCAAATGCTTTCTCTCAAGTAGCTCTAATATCAGGGGGCAGTGGATGCAAAGGCTTGGGAGAAGTGCCTCAAACTATAAATGCTTGAAATTTTTTTTGAAGTCTCATCTGGATAGAATTTTGCATTTTACTTTGCACCATATTGTTTTCATATATTTTCATATAAAATAAATATTTTAAATTATCAGGTCTATCAGGTTTCCACTGCCCTACAGCAAACCACTCCCAATTTAGTAGTGCAAAAAGCAGCAGTCATTTTATTATTTTGTCAGAACTCTGGGTCTTGCCTTGGCTCAGCGAGGCACTCCCTTGTTTGGTGTCTGTTCTGCAGTGGCAGTCACTGACCAGAGCTGGTTCAAAGGTTGCTCCCTCACCTATTTGTTATCTGGACTGGGAAGACTCAAACTACTGAGGCTCCCCAAGCATTTCTCTTTATCAACATGTGGCCTTTCAGAATGGTGGCTTCAGGGAGCCAGGCTTTGTACTTGGCAACTCAAGTCTCCAAAGGGACATGTGCTGCTCACATTCCAGATGAAAGCTGAATTTCTTTTTAAGATTTAGCCTTAGAAGTCAAGTAGTTTCCTTCCATTCTCCCTCTCTTAGTTGGGGAAAATCAGAGAGTCCTGCCCAGGATCAAGGATAGGGATGCAGACTCTACCTCTTGATGGGAGAGAGACCAGGTTCTGAAAGAGCATTTCAGGCAAAAATATCGTGGAAGCCATTTTCAGTAAATAAGATTTTTCTTAATTGTCTTAGTTAATAAGTGGTTGTATGGATGATATTTTCAGAAAGCAGGGCTAAATTTAAAAGAAGTGACATCACATAATCTTCTTCAGCATCCGGGCAAGTTTTCTTCCTTATATTCTCTTAAATCCAGACTTTTATTTCCAAAGCTTTGAGTAAAATTGTTGTTCCAGAAAGATTTCATAATTATCTTGAGGTTTCTGCTACTGAGATATTGCAGTTTGAAAGACATGGACTTACATAGTATGCATAAATTAGTATCTGATTTGCCAAAAGAATAGCAATCAGTAGCTTGTTCACTCAAAGCTGCTAATGTGATATTTCTCTTCCTTGGTTGTGCAGGCAGAAATTAGAGCTGAAGACCACTGAAGCAGGCCCAAGACTGATACCTGGAAAGCAGGTTGCAGCCATAATTAAAGCAGTTGATTCGGAGTACAGGGCCCTTCCCATTGTGGGACAGGACTTCCAGAGCGAGTGTAAAGGATGCCCTTCTGTGAGTGTGAACAGCTGCATTGTGTGGTCAGATAGGGGAATTATCATGGCTTAAAATTCAATTTTCCTTTTGTCTCCAATGGAAGCTTCAGTTAATTCTTTGAAGAAAGTTTATAAAGAGCTACCAGTCACCACTGAATTCTAATGGCACTAGTATTTAACAATATGCACACAAGATGAGGTGTAATCCAACAATAATTAACAAATAATTACTATCCACTCATTTCAAATTAAAAATATTATGACTTAAGGGCAACTTCTGAATAGTAGTACCTAGAATACAGTGGGGGATAAAGGGTCTAATGAAGTTCGGGGAAAGCATGTAGTGTCAAGAGCATGGACAGGGATCTGAATCCTGAAAGTTCTACTACTGAGTAGCAGTATGTCCTCAGATGAAATGTTTTACTGAGCTCAGTGTTCTGAGTATTGCTGTCAGGACTAAAAAAGGATACCAAGCTCTCTGCTAAATTAGGAAACACTTCTTTACCACACCCCAACTCCCCTACAATTACCGGCAGAAATGAGATAGCACACCTTCAAGGCAAAATGTAGATCATCATAACATTTTAAGTCCAACAAAGAGAAATTTCATTTATCTCATGAGTCAGTTGTGATGATGACTATAGATAGGACCTTAGGGTCTAGCACTTCCTAATAGTTAGCCTCTTGTCAGGAGAGCAAACCCCTGGCTTCATGCTCCGTTGGTAGCTACCAGAAGATGCTGTTCCCTTGGTGTTCAGAGAAGTAGAATTATCAAGATATAATATCATAATTTGCTTAAAGTACAAGACATTAAGTCCTTGCTAATTTCTCATATTTATCAAATTGAACTATGGGAAAAACAAAAAGAAAGAGAGAATCATCATTCTCAAATCTTATTTTTTATTTGTTTTTCTTCCATATAACAGTTAATGTTCCAGTGTAATTTTCTAATGTGTCATATGAAGGTGGAAATTATTTAGGAAAGTGACTGATGAAACCAATCATCTTTTTTAATGCTGTGAACTATTAATTTCTCTCCCCCATGGTTATTAAAAATTATAAGCCATTTTAGATTTTTGATAATTACTTCTTCATTATTGTAGGAAGGGTTTATGTCTTTGAGGAATTGCTTTTGCAATTTCAGTACACTGTCACCATTGCAACCCTTTAAAGAAAAAAAATCTGAATTCACACTGGTGTGCTCTCTGCCCTCAGAAATGACCCAGTAGATCTTTAGCTAAGAATAGCTGGAATTTTGCTCTGGAATATCCTCTTAAGATTAGATAACCAAAAGAGGATTTGAAAAAGAAAAAATATGTGTCTATTGCTTATTAGAAGGAGTGAATAATTTAAATATTTGTAGCATACTGGTTACCCCAGACCTCTTAGACTGCTGGAGGTCACTAATGGGATTAAACACATAATTTACAACTAGGGGTAGAAGTGGTAAACTAGGAAATATCAGTTATTTAACATATTTCAAGGCCAGAATATGTCATTAATTAGAATTATTTACTATTGTTAAAATCAAAATAGAATAACAATAGTATGAGAATTACCTTTATCTAAATACTACTCTACTTAACATGTAAGTAATGAACAATTCAGACCTCAGCATAGTTAAACATTGCATGTCATAAAAACAATAAAATAAAGAGATAGAATAGGGAGCTCAAGTTATTACAAAAACTGATTTTCAGTGAGGTCCCAGTACGTAAGAAACCTGACACAATTATTCAGCAGTTTTACTTTTTTTCCCCTTCCAACATCTGCTGTCAGCGAAAATTCTGCACACTTGCAGGATGGTAGTCAAAGCCTGGCCTTAGGTATAATTCCTTTAGTGTAACGAATGACCTTATAGGCCCAGAAGCCTCGGTTCTTTGGAGCTAAGTACTAACAGACAAAAATGGTCCTCCTGCAGAGGAATCGCACACAGGGTCAGCAGGTCTCTAGATTTGTCTCTGAGAGTCACAGGAATGTGAGAGGGGCAGGAGGCAATCAGGGATATGGAGGTAAGATACAACAAGCTTCTTTTGCTTGTCAGTTACAAGGCAAGATTTCTTTCTGGGGAGAACATCCCTTGACAATGCAGATGTCCAGAATCCCGAATAGGGTGTGAGCTTGCACTCCTGTTTCTTTGCAGCTCTCAGAGCACTGGCAGTCAACCAGAAAACACCTGCAGCCTGACCAGCTCTCCAAGGCTGAGGCTGTCAGAAGCTTCCTGGCCTTCATTCAGCACCTCCGGACGGCAAAGAGAGAAGAGATCCTCCAAATCCTCAAGGCTGAAAACAAGGAAGTGTTGTAAGTTCCCCAATCTGGTGTGGGGTTGTCTGTAGAAAAGCATTTCTGGGTTACTGGTTTCTTACTAAGAAAGACACCTTTTAACCAAATGCCCAACTTCCAAATCAATTATTGTGCTGTTTTTGTATTTTCATCAAAGAGTTACACCACAATACAGTAATTTAACAATTACTTGACCAGAAATGTGCTAAAACAAAGTTTTAGCAGCGACTCAGAATGAACATTTTTTGAGTGTTATGAGTTTAAATCAGGTCTGAATTGGCGTGGACCTATTTATTTACATTTGAAAAGATTCTAGAGTTGGATTATAAAAACAAAAAAGGAGTATGACTTTTCAATTGAAAAATGTAATTTTATTAAAGATCCAGTGATCATACCCATCAAAGCCATTTTTTTATATAGAAAATTGAGAACTAAGGTAAATAGTCAAAAGAAATCTGTGCGTTATTTGAATGTTTGCTGAAAGTGTGATTCATTGACATGCACAATAAAGAGAGTTGACTTAATTCTCAGATTTACTCTGTAAATACAAGTGGTTTTTGTCTGTAATATAGAATTTGTAAATACAAATTCAGCTGTATAATATTAATTGCCCTAATGATACAGAAAGTGGTTCAATTAATTTGACAGTCAAAACTAGCCATTAACATAATAAAAAATGGAAATTGGCCAACACACACACACACACACACACACACACACACACACACACAGTACCAGTAGCCATAGTCACTGAGTTCAAAGGACTCAATTCTCCAAGAAGAGAATTGAGCTTTTTTTCAAGAAGTGTATTTATTCTTTATTATATTTACTTACTTGCCTTGAGGACATTTTTAAAATTGATAGGAATTCCATATGACTAACCAGAGTTGGTTGCTTTCTTCAAAAAATAAATATTTAAACCAGAAGTTGAAAGATACACAAAGTTAGAGATTCTCAGACTCCTGTTTTAATCATCGAACTTTAAGATATATTTGTAGGGTGATTTGTCTTCATAGGAAAAGCAAAGATACTGACAAGAAAAGTTTAAAAATTGGCTATTAGTTTAGAATGGAGATTGAATTAAACTTTAACCTTATTTGTCTCCTAAAAGCCTTAAGGTAGTAATTATTTGGATAATTTCATGATGTATTTTCTAAATCAGATTACAGGTTTCTCCTGCTACCCAAAAGTAGAGCCTCCTATGAAACCTTTTGTAACCTGAAATGGTGTAAAGCAAAGAATTACCATTAATTTACATGGAAATTTTTTAAGCATTTCCAGACCAAAAAAATAACCTCTCTTAGGTTTTACTGATACCTTAGGACACATCTTGCAAATGGATACACAAAATAAATCAAGATAAAACCCAGATGCTTATAGACACAGTTCTAAGCTATGGTGGCCTGATGCTGAGATGCTGAGTGTAGTTCCCTGGGAAGGGGCTTGGTGGGGCCACAATCGCTGCTCAGGGTGCACAATGCCTCTGTATCGGGCTTGCTACAAAACATGTTGAATGCTATTCTGCTTTTAACCTTTTTTTTTTTTGGTAAAAGCAAAAATCCTCTTCAGATTTCTTTTGGTTACTAAAAACAGATACTAATGTAGGTCTTTTATAAAAGCACAGTAGCCTAACACAAACTTTGGAAAAGCAGGGGATACTTGTGTTTATGTAATATTATACCATATAATGTGTAACCCACATATAGCATAGTGTAATAGAAAGGATACTAGGATGCATTAAAATCAGAAGACCTAGTTTTTTTTAAAGATTTATTTATTAGAGAGCGGGGAAGGGGCAGAGGGAGAGAGTCTCAAGCAGACACCCTGCTGGGCAGCGAGCCCCACACAGGGCTTGTTCCCAGGACCCTGAGATCATGACCTGAACCAAAATCAAGAGTCAACACCTAACCTGCTGAGCCACCCAGGCGCCCTGGAAGACCTGGTTTTTAATTTTGACCTCCAACAGCGTACAACCTTTGAGCAAATTGTTTACGTTTAGCCTCTCCAAGCTTCACTTTCAACATCTGTAAAATATGGAGAATAATTCCTTCTATTTATTATAGCATAGTGGAAGACATGGTGGTGGAATGTAACATTTCCCAAAGTGTCCATTGTGTGTATCCTGTAATTTGCAGAATACTAACAAGTATGCCAAGAGGAAAGAATTCTGTGAGCAACTGAGTTGGAAAAATGCTGGGTGAAACCAAATCAAAGAGTTTTCTTGGTTGCAGAAATTTTCAACATCTTCAATCATAAATTATTACATATAAGTTTCCTTAAACATTTTCCAAACTTAAATAATCTTGAAGATCCCTTTCCTTACATCATTTCATAGGACTAGAATCACATGGAAAAAAACACTTTGAGAAATACTAACGTATTTAAAATATGGATACCAGAGTCAGAAAAACCTGAGTTCCAACCCCAGCTATTTGAACATCTGAGTCTGTTTCCTCATACATAAGGGGGAATATTAGCATTTAACTGACAGAGATGTTTCATGGATTAAATGAAGTAATTGTATTAATACATCCTATATTTATTGAGTGTTCTAAGTGCTCTACATAGATTATGTAATCTAATCCTCCCAACAATTCTAAGGTAACCACTATTTTTAGCCCCATCTTACAGGCAAAGAAATGAAAGCAAAAGAGAAGTTGCACACCTAAAATTTTTGGTGTAGTACTTGCATAATAGGCACCTAATAAGTATTCTCTCTCAGTCTCTGCTTCATTTACTACTAGGTTTTTGTTAGGAACAAAATGATAGAGTACAAGTGTGTCTTTTTTTTTAAAGTATAAAGCACTAAACACATGTATGGTATGTTTATACAATGTGGAATAAACTTACATACATAATATATTCATTAGAATGACAACTAATTTCAGAAATTTTACCATCCCAGACTCAACCAGATTCCTGATGACTGCTGTACGTAATTAGAATTAGGAGTTCTGCTCTGTCCACACATAGCCATTATGGGTGAACATTGAACATGAACATGGTAACTATACCATGTTTTTATTTTTAGAAAAAACAACATCTTCTCCCTCAGATATAAATTAAAGTTAAAAGGATTTCCCATCTTTTCTTTAAATAATACTGCCTGAGTTAAATTAGGCATTTGAGAAATGTGTACATTTGCAAAGCTAATTAGATAAAAGAGAATCAGTATTTGAGACCATAACTGTGATGTATTACTCATAGAGAAAAGAATTTGAACCTATTTTATAATTTTGCCAGTATAATTTTGACGTACAAATTTCCAAATTATGTTTGGCTTAGGCTATTACAGTAAAATTAGTTTGTATATTCTGAGTATACATTGAATTAGAGAGAGAGGCATTAAAGGAGAGGTTTAAAATAAAATGGGGGGTCTTTTTGAGGAAGTTCTTCATTTTTTGTTTGTTTATATAAAAAATTTCACTTTAGGAAACTCAAATCAATGGAGAGCCTGTGAATGGTAGAGATTTAAATAATTCCTTAAACTGATATCCATGACTCTCCCTTTTTTGTAGACCTCAACTGGTGGATGCTGTCACCTCTGCTCAGACTTCAGACTCATTAGATGCCATTTTGGACTTTTTGGATTTCAAAAGTGACAGTAGCATTACCCTCCAGGAGAGGTTTCTCTATGCCTGTGGATTTGCCTCCCATCCCGATGAAGAACTCCTAAGAGCCCTCATTGTAAGTCAAATGAACACTGGGAAAATAAAGGCTCTCAGCTACTAAAAAGCTCATTAAGAATCTAGGCAGTAATTGGATTATTTTCTATCCATTAATCCATTATTTGTAGTAAACTGTTTCACATAGTGTCTTCTTTGCACTTCCTCTAAAGTAACATAAACTGTATTGTAAGGAAATTTAAAGATTATATTCACCTATCATACAATTTGACATAGAACAAAATTTCAGAGATGAATCTTGGTTATGCTTCAGAAATTGATTTTTAAAAGATTTGTTTTGACTTCAAAAGTCTTCATGGCATCTAATATACAATGCATTGAAGAGATACAATTCCTCCAATATTAAAAAATTTACAGTGGAAACAAAAGTTAGACTTCTCTTGGATCCAAGATTTAAAAACAAAATGTGTACTTATCCACTTATGATCTAGTGGAATAACTCATAATCTTTTTGGAAAATGAGACCATTTGAGGACCTGATAAATCAATGAAGCTCCTCTTCACCCATATGCAAAATTTTACAGACTATTTTTTTGTTTTACTGACTCAGTGAACCCAATCCATAAACCCCTCAGGAGTTCATAGACCCATGTTAAGAAGACCTGGAGAGGAGAGATTCTATTAATTCTTCAATTTAAAGTTAGAAAGTGAATTTGTAAGTGTCCCCAAATCAAAATTTTCAATTTGCTATCTAGGAACATAAAAACATTTTCCTTAGACATAGGTTATGTTGCATCTTAAAAAAACATTTCTAAAAATGTCCCTTTGAAATGTTTAAATGTTTTGATAACCTATTTTATCTCTGTTTGGTTAATAGAGTAAGTTCAAAGGTTCCTTTGGGAGCAATGACATCAGAGAAACTGTTATGATCATCATTGGGGCCCTCGTCAGAAAGCTGTGTCAGAATGAAGGCTGCAAACTCAAAGTAAGTGCAAATCCAATCTCATGTATTATATAGTTCCAGATCATTCTATGTCATACTCACTGAGCTGCCTATCACTGGCACTCCTGATCTCCCTTACCCTACTCCACTTTCCCTATTTCATAGCAATTATTGTCATCTAACATACTTTATAATTCAGTTATTCATGACATTTATGCTTATTTCTGTTTCCCACTGAAATATAACCTCCATGAAGAAATGGATCTTTGTCTTGTTAACACCAATTGCTTAAAATAATTGCTGATGCATAGATAATGTTCAACAAATACTTGCTAAAGAGTGAATAGTCTATTAATCCTTCACTGATATATATTTATTGAATGCCCATTTCATATGTGGCTTTCAATGGCATGTATGATATAGTTCTTTTTCTTAGAAAAATATTAGACTCCAGGGCTATCTCTTAGAGGAGAACTTTTTTAAAAAGGTTTATTTATTTATTTTAGAGAGAGACAAGGAGAGAAAGAGTATGAGTGGGAATGGCAAAGGGAGAGGGGGAGAGAATCCCAAGCAGACTCCATGCCAAGCATGGAGCACTACACAGGGCTTGGTCTCACAACCCTGAGATCATGACCTGTGCAGAAACCAAGAGTCAGATGTTTAACTGACTGAAGTGCCCTGGGGAATAAATAAGTGTGGTTTGCAGTTTTGAGTTTTGATGGAGGGAATTTTGTTACTTCTGATTACCCAGAGCTTTACATTTTGTTTTTAATTTCATTTGCTCAAAGCTTCTCCATTTGTCTGACTGGACTATTAATTTTAACATCTTTCTCATAAAAAACCAAAACCTCACTTTGTAAGCTTAACTAGTTATAGAAAATCCAAATGGATTAATATCCAACACAGCCTATCTTTCTATAATGCAAATAGATTAAAGATGCTGAATATATAAAAAGTCTTTTTTTGGTCCACATTTATTATACAGTCAGCCTGTAGTCAGCATTTTTCTTCTCTCTCAAAAAAGACATCACTATATTATTTTGCTTGCTGAGTGCTTGCTTTTAAAAATAATAGGGAGAACATTCTTGAAAGAGTGCCAAAAGAGACAACCCAAACTAGAAAGTAACCTAAGTATGAAAAAGATTACTAAAAAAAAAAAAAAAAAAAAAAAATGGCTTTGAAAGTGTTTGAACATCAGCCTAGTGAGTTCTGGCAGAGATCAAATTTGTATTATTTCTATGACATCAAAGAACTATGACTTCTTATATTTTTTCAATTTCCATGATTATTTGAATAGCTGATTTACTTCAGTAATCATATATCAAATATCTTGACTAAAGACAAAATTCATATATGAAAACATCCATTCAGAATTTAATAAGTATCTGCTCTGTTCTAAGGGTGATGTTAATCCCTAATATAAAGATGCATAAAATATTCTACCATCCTCAAAGAACTCCCAGTCCATTTATCAAATACAAACAAAAAATAATATTGAAATATAAACAAAGTGTTTTGAGAATACAGAATATATAGCAAACTATTCTGTTTGGGGGTGCTAGAGAAGGTTTCACCAAAATAGTAATATTTAAGCTTTGTCTAGAAGAGCTTTTTAGGTGAAGAGATGATAGTATGGAATGAAAGACATTCTAGGAGAAATACAATAATGCATGAAAAGGCCCAAAGTCAAAATGGGTCTGGTATGCCTGAGAACAGTGAGAAATTCTGTGGAGCTGGAGCACAAAGTATTCATATTTGTGGGGCAGATGGGTGAGAGTAGAGCACAGGAAAGAAGGGAAGAGAGAAAAGAAGTTGGATCTTTATTAATGAGATGCTAACAAGTCTGGCCATCACTCCAAAGAGAGAGGGGAGAATGGTATGTTTTTAGGCAGGTGAATGAGATGCTCAGATTTTTTTTTTTTTTTTTTTTTTTATAAAGAAGCAGAGTGTAGGGACTGGCTGTTGACTGGATTGGAGCAGCAAGATCTGATTGGAAATATTTACAACAACCGGACAAGAATTAGTAAAGGTCTGAATTAACATAGTGGCAGTAGGGTGAGAGAAAGAGACAGATTCAAGAGTCATTTAGGAGGTAGAGTTGATAGTACTCAGTGATGACTGATGGGGAGATGTGGGGAATGTGAAAGAGGTAAGAAGCTGGGTGACTAGTAAGGTTCCAGGGTAGGGTACTAGGTGTGGTGATGTCAACCACTTAAGCAAGGTTTATAGAACCGAGTTTGGGATTGGGAGGTAGGTAGAACTATGAATTTGTTTTGGCCATGTTAAGTTTGAAATCCTCTGGGCCACCAAGTTGAGTTGTCCAAAGGGCAGATGGCCATAGCCACCTGAAGCCCAGAAGAGGAGTTAGGGCCAGGAACAGGGTGGCTGCAACCTTGGGAGAGAGTAGAATGTAGCATGAGAAGGAAACTGAACAAAGGATTAAATGTAAAATTCTGCTGAAAATGGGATAGCCAAATTCTCATCACATCTTTAAAGTGTAAGACTGTTGAATCACAGACTTGTACCTCTGAAACAAATAATATATTATATGTTAAAAAAAAAGAAGAAGATAGTAGGAAGGGAGAAATGAAGGGGGGTAAATCGGTGGGGTGGATGAACCATGAGAGACTATGGACTCTGAGAAACAAACTGAGGGTTCCAGAGGGGAGGGGGGTGGGGGGATGGGTTAACCTGGTGATGGGTATTAAAGAGGGCACATTCTGCGTGGAGCACTGGGTGTTATAAGCAAACAATGAATCATGGAACACTACATCAAAAACTAATGATGTAATGTATGATGATTAACATAACATAATAAAATAAAAAAAAAAGTTACGTTGTAGGTAGCTTAAAACTAGCCCCTATCACTGTCATTCAATTTTGTTAATGTTTTGGGCAACTTTGGGCACGTGCTGTGATGAGCACTGGGTGTTACACGTAACTAATGAATCATTGAACACTACATCAAAAACTAATGATGTACTATACAGTGACTAACTGAACATAATAAAAAAATGCATCTTTGAAGATAATTAGTCACCAGATGGACTGTTGTAAATGTTCACGTTTGACTTTCAACTTTCTGCTGTGGAATATTCATCTACCTCTAGCCTACATCGAAGACATATGAATAGAAAGAAAATGATGTGTTCTCAGCAAAAATTTAGGGTGCCTGCTGGGCATAAAATACTTTTACTGCCCAGAAGGTACCTGCCATCCTATCGAGTGCTAAATTTTTTCAGCCTTACTAGCATGAAAGCTCTCGCCTGCCCCATGGCAGTCGGAGTGGCAGCTAGACAAGTTAACTCACCGAGTACAAAGCCCCCTATTTCTTTTTCTTATTAGTTTTTTGTCACATTTTGACCTCCTTGCATCCTAATTGCATTTTTCCCCAAATTTGTATTTGAAAAAATTCAAACCTACAGAAAAGTTGTAAGAATAGCATAATTCTATGACTGTATACCCTTCACCTAGATTTGCCAGTTTTTAACATCTTGCATACTTCTAGTATCTCACTCTGTTTTATCTCATTTTATTTGTATTTTGATTGAGCCATGTGAGAGAGGGTTGCAGACATCTGGCATTTTACCCCTAAATGCTTTTACTTATTACATAAGTGCTATTGCATCTAGGCCCTTACGATGGACAAAATACATATATCTATACTTATTATATGGTGAGTTCATACTGCTATCTTAATTCCAGCCCAATGCAACAAGCTTCTTTCTCTTCTTTCATTCCATACATTTATCTTCCTTCTCCTACAGTGAGAACCTTGGTGTTCAAGAACATCAATGTATTGATTTATTTGCTCAATCTTAAAACACACACACAATAGTTTTGGAATTGCTACACCAGTATTGCTACAAAAGTCAGACTAAATAAAGTTTAAGACTTCATCACAGCTCTTTTTGTTTTTAGAATATAGTTCTCTAAATGTGTACAGAATTCTATATTCAGAAGTCTCTTGCATCAAGTCTTTGTTATTCTCTTCTGTTTAATTATGTTAGCGGTTTGATATACGCTTATGTTTGTTTCTGTTTGAATTCAATTTTGGCAATTTTCCATCCTTGTTGATTTAATTTTACTTCTTGCATATGTGAAATATTAACATGGTTCAAAAGTCAAAACTACATTTTAAAGGCATTCTCAAAGGGGTCCTGTTCCCTTTTCTAGCTAGCCCTTCAACCCATTCTTGCCTGCCTCCTTCATGTACCCATTGTCATTAATTTTTGCTTTTTCCTTCCTGTATTTCTTTTTGCAACAGTAAGCAGATATACACACACATTTTTCTTTTTTTCTTTCACAAAATACAGCATTCTATATATACTCTTTTGTAGCTTATTTTTTCCACTTAACAATATACCCTGGAAATCACCCCATACCATTCTCAGAGATCCTCCTCATTCCTTTTTATAACTAGCCTAATACTTCACTATGTGAAGGGACCAATGTATTCAGGATCTCCCGCATATGGTCATGAGCTGGGTTCTACTATTTTGCTACTACAAGTCATGCTGAGATGAATGATCTTAGGCATATTTTTTCTTATTGTTAGAGATGTAGCATCAGGGCTGGGGGTGCTGGAACAAAATGTAGATATGTTAGCTTTTGCCAAATTACCTTTCTTAGGAATTGTATCACTTCATGCTTTCACCAGTAATGCATGAGAATGCCTATTTCCCCATAGCCTCAATAGGAAAGTATGTTATCAAACTTTTTAATCTTTTAATCAGTCTGATAGTTGAAAAATAGCATTTCTCTGAGTACACATGAAATTTAGTATCTTTCCTTCTATTTGGGGACCTTTTATATCTTTCCCCACCCCCTATCTCCCCCCTCTCTCTCTCTTCCCTACTCTCTGTGTGTATGTGTGTCTGTGTACCTACTGCCTAATTTCAGAATTTGCAAATCCTATAGTTGAATTAGACCTTAGGCATCTTTAAAGATGAAACTGAAGCCCCTAAAACATAGGTAGTGGCAAAGACCAGAATCTAGGCGTCCCTATTTGTAATTTACTTTTCCATTAAACTATTAACTTATAGTCAATTCTTTTTTTTTTTTTAGGCCAGAAAAAGGGGCCTTTTTGATTAAAGAACATATTTGAAAAGTACCTAGCAAAGTGCCACATAGAAGGCATTCAAGAAATATTTTTTGAACTGTATGGTAGCATTAATCAAATTGGATTCAAGTGGAAACAAGCACTTTTTAAACATTTAGAACAAGACCTTATGGTCAAGTTCTAAGTACTTTCACCAAACTGTTACTTAAGAAAAAGCGTGTGGCATCACTTAGGTGCCATCTAATTGTTCCTTTAGAAATTCAATGAAGAGGCAGTTTTATGAATAATCAATCACAAAGGAATTTTAGAAATGACTTTATACATTCAGAATGTGTTCAAAAGTAGATATATCAGTTATTAATTGTACTCATTCCTTCTTAAGAATATGTTAACGTATGCATTTTTAAAAAAACACAACACCTTTATCAAGTACACTTGTTCATTTTCATTGTGTGTCTCAGTCAGGCAACCAGTGCAAAACTTTCTAAAACTTTGGGTTGTTTTCTTGGACCCAAGAGTGAAGCCAGTCTTGTCCAAGCCTTATTTAATGTATGATTATACATATGTCTGAGGTAGTATGTGAATGTTTTAGGCAGTGGTGGAAGCCAAGAAGTTAATCCTGGGAGGACTTGAAAGAGCAGAGAAAAAAGAGGACACCATGATGTACCTCCTGGCTCTGAAGAATGCGCTGCTTCCGGAAGGCATCCCACTCCTTCTGAAGTATGCAGAAGCAGGGGAAGGGCCTGTCAGCCATCTTGCCACCACCACGCTCCAGAGATACGATGTCCGTTTCATAACTGATGAGGTAAATTCCCCAAGAGTATTTGCAACATTCACAGAAGGAAAAGAAGCGTGTCTAAACTTGAGTCAAATGCAAAGTTCTCTGAAGTCAGCCTCTTTTTTTCCCCCCAAACTATCTCTCTTTCCTGTTTAGAAATAACTCTTAAATTGAATTTAAGGCTATTCTGAAGCAGCCTCACATTTTGAATAGATAATGTCCTGTATCCTGAAGCATAAATATTGAAGCACATCCTCTTATTTTAAGAAACAAATTCTTTCCAGAAATACCTTTACTTCCATAAGTTTCAAAATACTGTTAAATGTTTCCACACTAAAATATCCTGGCTTAAGAATTTCTGTGTTGGTTCCTATAGCTGCATTTTCAGGAAGCCATCTAAATTAAACTTTGATTAGAACAGAAAAGTTTTTAAACTTCAAGATAAGCTGCCTGCTGAGAATGATATTTCCAGTTTGCAGCTGAGCACCTTCCCACTACTTTTTTTTTTTTTTTTTTGGTCAAAGTTGGTAGACTGCAAAGCATGATGGCTAGGGTCATGGGCTTTTGAGACAGAGACCTACCTATAAATTCTGGCTATTTTTTCCTAGTTGTTTGTGCTCAGTTGAGTTGTTTAACTCCTCTACACTTGAGAACAAGGCCAGCATTTGGGGGAAATAAAAAAAGCAAAGGGAAATGGAATTGAAAGAACTGTTTATAAATGCCTAGTACAGAAACCCCACCCCCATACCACATATTTTTAGGCAATGCTAGTAACCAATAAAATTATTTGTTGCCAATATTTGTTGCCACAGAAGCCATTATTTTAGCAGATTTTCTTTGGTGTTAATGTTTTGTTAAGAAAAGAGTTCCCTAATGTAACTTGTGGACTTTGGGTGACAATGGTTTGTCAGTATAGGTTTGTCAAATGTAACAAATGTACCACTGTGGTGCAGGATGCTGATGGGGAGGATGTTACATGTGTTTTGGGCAGGGTGGAGACTAGAGGCAAGGGGTATATAGGAACCCTTTATACTTCCAGCTTAGTTTTCTTGTGAACCTAAAAGTGCCCTGAAAAATGAAGTTTATTAATTTTTTAAAAAAGGATAAGGGAGGATCCTGAGGGACTTCATTCTAAGGAAATATCAGTTAATATAGCCATAGCTCCCCAGTAGTATCTTTAAAAATCGATATTAGTTAGGTGACACCATGATATGCTGCAATAACAGATGAGCTTCAAAATCTCAGCTTATCAAAAGTCTGTTTCTCATTCATGCCATGCCTAATGAAGGTAAGGGAAAATGTGGCCCTAAGTTTACTACAGTAGTAGTAAAAAGAGAGGGAGAAGGCACACCAGCTCTTAACTGTCCAAGTCCAGAAGTCACCCACAGCAATTCTATTCATGGTCTGTTGGCTAGGACTGTGGCCCCAACCTAACTGCAAAGAACCCTGGGAAATGTAAGAGCACATGCATATTTTTAAGAGCACTAACTATTCCTATCACAATATCAACATAAAAAATCTAGATGTGCCCTAAGTTTGAACATCTCTGAACAGGTAAAGAAGACTTTGAATAGGATATACCACCAGAATCGTAAAGTCCATGAAAAGACTGTACGCACTACTGCAGCCACCATCATTTTAAATAACAATCCGTCCTACATGGAAGTAAAAAACATTCTGCTCTCTATTGGGGATCTTCCCAAAGAAATGAATAAATACATGCTCGCTGTTGTTCAAGACATCCTACGTTTTGAAATGCCTGCAAGGTATGATGGAGTGCACCTGTCTCTCTGTTTATCTAAGAAAACTTATTTTATTTGTTCAAGCTTATTTGTTCATTGGTGTAGTACACATGTGGCTAATAATAATGGCATGGTCATTATGCTAGGTATGTTACATAAAACCAGAGTTGGCCAAGTTTCCTCCAAGAACTATTTAGCAGGCCAAATAAGACAACTTTACTTTGGCACTATGATTTGAAACCCGGGGTATGATTTGTACTTAGGTCTCCTGATCAGTCTGGTAAGTATATATTGCCAAACGTTTGTGATGTTTTAAAACACAACTACATTTTTAATAGGACTATTTTTATCAATAGCACAACAAAGTGATATAAGTTCTTACCAAATGGTCTTTCATGTTAACTTTCCAAAGGTTAGTGATCTAATATTGAAGACTCATCTATCACAGATCAAATGAATCTACCATTTAAGTTAAAAACCTCAGGCATGGCTCTCATTTTGGGACAATGCAAGGTATGGGGAGTGGGATCAGCAGACTTCATCCCTTTCAGTAACTCTTACTGGATTCATCTTCCTTCCAGTACCCAGGTCTCTTCTTCCGAATTCACTGATGTCTCCCTTCAAAGTGGTGCTTCCCCAGAGCTCTCTGCACTTCCTCACTGAAATGAGAAGGCTGGAAAAGAAATTTCCAATTTCCCCTGAGTTACTTGCACAGCAGGATCCCTAGGAAAGATCAAATTTGAGCATTTTCAGTTGAAAAGGAAAACAGATATGGGGGAGGTTGGAAAATAGATAAAGACAAAGGAAAAAAGTTTTAAAGGCAATAAAAGAAAGGGGTGTGGGAGGAGCGGGTAGAAGGGAGAAAAGAGCAGGACAGATAAGGAGGAAGAAGGAGCAGATGAGTGAGGGAGGAAGAAGCAAAGTCTGTCTGTAGCCATGTATTCCACGGGGAATGGATTTGACTTCTATTTCTTTGTTTGCTTTTGTGAGACTGTGGAGGAGATCCTGGGTGGGTTTACTGCCCTTGTCTTGTGAACCTAGTGATGCAGGGGACAGTAAAAGAGGACACAATGGGGTAGAGAGCAGCCAGGGAAAGGCGAGGAAGCTGTCGCAACACTGCAGGGCAGATTCTCAGGACCAGAATGGTTAGAGTTGGAAAGGACGTTACAGGCCACTTCGCTTGGTATCTCTCTCTAGTGTGGAATCTACTCTCCTAGCAGGTGGTGTCCAGTCTTTGCTTGCACCTGTCCAGTGGCAGGGGCTCGCCTCCTCTGAGGGAACTTGTGTCATTATTCAGAGACTATCACCAGTACTTCTTTATGTAACTGAAAGTTTCCTATTGGCCCTATTTGCCCCAATCCCTGGAGCAAAGCAGAGCAGGTCTAATCATTCATCCATACGCAGGCCCTTTGAATATTTGAAGACAGCCATTATGACCTCCTCATCCCTTCTTCTCCAGGCTAATGTCTTATAATATTGGGGGACCTATAGGGTTACTGTTCCCTCCCTCAATAATTTTCTACCTCAGATCTAGATCCAGATTTCTTTGGTTGATTATTTTGATATCTTTTGTGATAGTACCTAATTTTGTTATTACTGATATGATTAGTGTTAAGTAGTTGGGATCAGAAAGATCTCAGTACTCCTTAGACAGTAGACAAGATAGTGGCATAGGGTAAGGTTTAAGACTAACTTTAGAGGAGATAATCATTCATTTATGGGTTTTACTGAGATGTCTCTTTAATTGAAAACTCCGCAAGTAGAAAAAATTCCTGGGAATGAACTGTGACGTGTCATCAGCCACTGATAAGATTAGAGAGCATAGGAAAATGTTTAGAGAAATATTGAGCAAACCCATCCCCCACCCAGTTTGGTAGAGCTTTCCTTGAAAGTATATACTATTTAACAATAGAACCATGATGATTCATAGAACATGTGTTTTCCACTCCTGAGGTGTGTCCATTAGTTGGTTTAAGCCATTCATAGCTGGGCGTCCTTGCCTTGCTGTCATTTTGATACCAACCTGAATTTCAAATATCTGAGGAATGAAGGGGAAAGCCCTAATGCTAAAGTTGGCACTCCAGCTGGCACCTCCCCGGTCTTGGAGTGGCACGAGGAAAATTTGGCCCCCTCTTTTTTCCACTGAGGGTTTGTTTTTTTTCCAAATCTGACTTAGGAAGCCGCCATTACAATGAATGTGCAGCTTTTTCCTTTTCTGTCTTGCAGCAAAATGGTCCGTCGAGTTCTGAAGGAAATGGTTGCTCATAATTATGACCGTTTCTCCAAGAGTGGATCCTCTTCTGCCTATACTGGCTACATAGAACGTACGTCACCTGAAAAGGGGTTCTCCCTCTCTGCCCTTCTCCCAGTTGGTATTGCTGGAACTGTTACTAAATTACAGGGCTTTGGGTGTTTGATTGTTTATTGTTGTTGTTGTTGTGATTAGGTGCTCCCCACTCAGCATCTACTTACAGCCTGGACATTCTTTACTCTGGTTCTGGCATTCTAAGGAGAAGTAACCTGAACATCTTTCAGTACATTGGGAAAGCTCATCTTCACAGTAGCCAGGTAACTCATTTTCCATTAGTTTTGCTTAATAAAGTATGTAAAAAATTAGTCCAAAGTAGAATAATATATATTCTGGTGGTAACACTATAGAATGCATAAGTTATTGGTGGCTCCTGTTTTAAGTAGCTTGCGATTCCATCATCTGCGGGAGGCTGTATGGTTTATAATTCCAGAGAGAGTTTCAAGTATGAACTTGAAACCTAAATAATTTGACTTAACAGACTTGCCAAATATCTGTTTGTCATTTCAAAGGCAAACCTATTCACAAAATTGAAATTGTCCTAATATTTTTCACTTTTGTTTTAAAAAATATTATGTTTTTATTCATAGATATATTCCTTAATGTTCCACGTATCTAACTCTGGAATATATTTTCCTTTTCTGGGTGTTTCTATGAAGAAGTTGATTCTCCATAATAAAAACTTTGACTCTCTAAAGAGTCTATGTTGTTCAGCACCACCAAGAGGAAAAAGAATAAAGTGTAGGCATCTGACAACTGGCTGAATTCCATCTCTTTAGTTTTATTCAAAATTTGGTTACAATCTATAAAGCCTTCCTAATTATAAACTATACTTTCTTTTTAGTTTTTATGCATATCAAATTATAACCTTCTCAATAAGCTCATTTAAGCATTAAAATTGATCCAGTACTACACAAACTTGAGTTCTTATCCATGTTATATTACTATACCCTTTGATGAGACTCTAGTCAGAATACTATGTCCTTCTGTCCTGAGGAATCACCATCTGTTTGCTGATAGGCACTTTGAAATGCCAAACACCCAGTGGTTATGCGGCTGGGTATGGGGGACAGAGAATATATAGGATTCCTGTGTATGGGAGAGATCATCTTTTCTTTCAGCTCAAGAGAGAAGTTTGGCAGGAAAGGTGTGAGTCATGGCTTAGAGTGTTCCACCCCCCTCGTAGGAGCAGCCTTATGGCTACTGTCCCAACATTTCTCCATCTCCTGTTAGGAGCTCTGCAGGACAGCTGGTCCATTATATGTGACGGTCCTGGAGGGACTAGGAGTCTTGAGGATGACACCATAAAATGGAAAGCCCATGGCCTTGGTAGACAGAAGGGGTTTGAGTTCTGCCTCTGCCATTTGAGATTTTTGGTTATCTACATCAAAAGGGATAAAAGGTTGCAAGGATTAAATGAAGAAAACGAATTCACCTTATGTTCAGGCATAGAGTTGGTTTTTTGTTTTTGTTTTGTTTTTGTTTGCCTAGCTGCTGCAGATGTCTGAATTTCTGACCCTTAGGAAAGTTCTAGCCACAGCTCAGAACCATCCCCATCACTTACAGAACAGTCAGGGAGCTGATGTCAGGACTGTTATTTCCATTTTCCCCCAGGTGGTCATTGAAGCCCAAGGACTGGAAGCCTTGATTGCAGCTACTCCCGATGAGGGGGAGGAGAACCTTGACTCCTACGCCGGCATGTCAGCCATCCTCTTTGATGTTCAGCTCAGACCTGTCACTTTTTTCAACGGATACAGTGATTTGATGTCCAAAATGCTGTCAGCGTCTGGTGACCCTGTCAGTGTGGTGAAGGGACTCATTCTGCTGATAGATCATTCCCAGGTAATCCGTTTCTTCTTCAACTATTTATTTAATCCCTAATGTGTTCCAGGCACATTTGAAATGGGTGGAACCTCAGAGGACAAGGTTCCATCCATCTAGGGGTTCACATTCTAAGCACTCACCCTCTTGGTATTGCAGCCCTTCCTCCTTTTCCCCTTTGTTATAGGGAAGCAGACTTTTCTTTCACCTTTGTTAGCTGATGAAAACACATCCTCACTGTTGAGGCAAAAGAGAAAATAGTCAATATAATATGAATACAGTAATGCCATATATATTTCAATAAAACCGAAAGAAAAAAAAGAGAAAATACTAATGCTAACAGAAACAAGAAATTATAGAGAAAATAACCTAGCCCTTTTGTTGTTGATCAAAACTGTGTCTTATGGATATCACTAGCTGCAAGGAAAACTGGTAAGGGTAGTTTTTCAAAGGGCACCTTGTCACTCTGAACTAGCCTATGTTGTAGTTAAAATGAATGAAGAGAAGGACAACCAGCAGTACCTGTCATATCCCTTAATCCTCAAGGTCACATGAAAAAACAGTTCTCAAATTATATCAGAATTTTGCATTGCACGTATCCATTACAGTATTAACTCTGAGGAGATGAATTCTTTTTTTGAGAGAGAGAGCGTGTATATGCATGTGGTGTGGGGGAGGGCCAAAGGGAGAGGGAGAGAATCCTAAGCAAGCTCCAGCACACACAGCATGGAGCCCGACATGGGGCTTGATCTCACGACCCTGAGATCATGACCTGAGCTGAAATCAAGAATTGGGTGCTTAACCGACTGAGCCACCCAGGCACCCCGAAGGGGAGATGAATTCTTAATGAAAAAATCTCTGAAGAAGGCATAAGAGTGCTGAGGAAGTGATCTACATTTTAAGACACAGGAATCATGACAGTTCAACCCCATCTGTGTGTGCTCAGCTACCTATCAACAATCTCTGATGGTCAGAATTAGGCTGTAAAACTTGATGAAAACACAGTAATCTAGATCAGGCTCAGCAGACTTTTTATGTAAAGGGCAGAAAGCAAATATTTTAGACTTTGTGGACCATATGGTCTCTATTGCAATTACTCAGCTCTGCCACTCTAGAGTGAAAACAGCCTTCAGCAATATATTAACAAATGAGCGTGGCAGTGCTCCAACAAAATTGTATTTACAAAAACAGCAAGTGGGCCAGATTAGCCTGCAGGCCATAATTTGCCAACTCCTGATCTAGATGATCTTGTAAAGTTCTTCTGTTCATTAAGAGAAGTCACCTAAGTTGTATTCTAAGGCAAAGATCATCCCGTGGCTATTAAAACATAACCCAATATATGTGTATTTCCTATTGGAGTACTTGGCAGATTAGGGGTTACTATACCAATAAGCTGTTTGATGCTCCCTGGTTCTGCAGAGCAATCCAGTAATGCCATCCCAGCTTCAGAGGCACATACCACTCTAGGTCAAGTGCTGACATTGAAGGAAATTTTGGCAGTGGATAGGCTGTCACAGCCACCAGGGCAGATGGAATTACTCTGTGCTTACTCTCCCTCTCTCTTTTCGGCTAATTGGATTACTCTTCAGAGAAGGATGTCTGGTAAAGTCAGCTTAATAGGGAGATCCTCTTTATCCAGCAAAGAGCGTATTGTCCTGAATGGAAGCAATGGGATAATTTGTCAAAATATCAGTGTTTGAACCAAGAGACACCTTTGAGACCAAAGGTCCAAGATCAAGGCGTCACAGTAGCTACAAATGTAAAGTATCTTGTTCCTGTAGCTCATAGGCAATAATTTAAATAAATATGCATTCTGGGTCAAACAAGGACATAAGCCTATGATCTTTATTATAATATTTCTCAGAACACTAGGAGACAAAATAGGGTTATGATTTTGTAATAGCCATGTGTGGTAAGAGAAAAGTATCCTCCCTAGAGACAGTCTGGGTATTCATTCTGTCTCCATGTATGGCTAGTAGGCCTGGGTTCCTTTTAAATCTTCAGATATAATGCTTACCATGGAAGATTAGTAGGGGAATTAAATGAGATACCAAATGTAGAGCTTTGGGGCCAGAGTAGGTCCTCAGAACTGTTAGTTCCACTTACTTTGTACCCTTAAAAATGAGAACCACTGCACTATGTGGTTTAGTCCCTTTCACAAAGAAAGAGTGGTGTATCCCTCTACAGGGTTCAATGCTCTGTCCTTCATTGGGAGCTCAGGAAAATTCTTCTGTGACTACACCTAAGAGTTCTTCCATGGTCTCTTTGCATGAGAGAAATGGAATCGTCCCAGAGAGCCAAGGCACTCCTTAAAACCCAGACTGCAATGGAAATGCTCTCTCCCCACAAAAGGCACATTGTCTAAAATCTGTGAAATATTCTTTTCCATGGCACTTGGTGTGTTTTGATCCACCTAATGTATGGCCAGTGGGAAAGCCAAAGTCCACATCAAAAGTTTTTTTTGATTGGGTGGACTAACGAGATTATAGTTTTCAAATTGGGGAGAGAGGAGAAGATCCAAAGAAAGAAATACTTTTTTTGTTATTTTTTTAGAGAGGGAGAGAGAGTGCATGTGCATGTATGAGTGAGCAGAGGTGGGGGTAGAGGGGCAGAGGGAGAGGGAGAGGGAGAGAAAGAATCTTAAGCAGGCTCCGTGCTCAGCATGGAGCTCAAGTCCATGATCCTGAGATCATGATCTGAGCTGAAATCAAGGGTCAGATGCTTGCAGGTGCCTGAGTGGCTCTGTCAGATGGGCATCTGCCTTCAGCTCGGGTCATGGTCCCAGGGTCCTGGGATCGAGCCCCACGTCAGGCTCCCTGCTCGGCCGGGAGTCTGCTTCTCCCTCTCCCTCTACCTGCCACTCCCCCTGCTTGTACACTCTCTCTCTCTGTCAAATAAATAAATTTTTTTTAATAAAAATCTTAAAAAAAAAGTTGGTGAGCGCTGTGAAGTGTGCAAGACTGTTGAATCATAGATCTGTACCTCTGAAGCAAATAATACATTATATGTTAAAAAAAGAAGAAGAAGAAGAAGAAGATAGCAGGAGGGGAAGAATGAAGGGGGGGAAATCGGAGGGGGAGACGAGCCATGAGAGACGATGGACTCTGAAAAACAAACTGAGGGTTCTAGAGAGGAGGGGGGTGGGGGGATGGGTTAGCCTGCTGATGGGTATTAAAGAGGGCATGTTCTGCATGGAGCACTGGGTGTTATACGCAAACAATGAATCATGGAACACTACATCAAAAACTAATGATGTGATGTATGGTGATTAACGTAACATAATAAAAAAATAAAATAAAAAAATAAAAATAAAAAGAGTGAGAATCAAAAAAATAAAGGAAACCTATGTTATCTCTACCACCTCTCCCTCCACAAAACTTAAAATGTATAATCAGCCACCCCCGACACCTGTAGCTGCAGCTCTTTCTACCAACGGGTCCTGTCCCTGCACTATAATAAAATCACCCTTTTGCACCAAAAAAAAAAAAAAAAAAAAAAGAGTTGGACACTTAAATGACTGAGCCACTCAGGCTACCAGAAAGAAATACTTCTAAGACAGGGCACACAGTAGGGTTCATTTGGGAACAATCACTATTACAGTGCAAATGGAGAACTCAAATCTTGGTTCTGTAGTTCATAGGCATTGGTTAAAATTTGGGCATAATTATTCTGGCATTCTCAGGATAATTTGTGTTCCTTAAATATTAGTTATGATGCATGAGACAACCTTGCATCCTACTACAACCACGTTTAGTTCTAGAGTAAATGTAGCTGTAAGTATTCTTAAGGTTTTCTCCTAATGTGTCCTGAGTTCTATGTTAAGAACCTCACACTTTCATCCAGGTGTCTTTAGACTAAAAGTAGCTTCATGCCACAATGAGACTTTTTTGGTATACCTGGTTGTAAATCAAGGCCTTTAACTGAGATTTCTTGCCATGTTTTTCGGAAAGTGGAGAGAATTCAGAGAGATCAATATGATCCTTTCTAGAAAGCAAATCATGGCATTTGTAGTTGGGGAAAGCATGGCTTGTTTGGTTTGAGTAGGGCAGTTACATAAGGAAGTTAGTCATGCTGCCAGTTACCACGAACCTAAGATCTTTGGAGGGATATCAAAATTAAGGATACTGAGCCTTTTTTTCTCCAGAGCCATTATCTTTTCCAACACTGTTCCCAGGCAATGTGACTGCAATCCAGCTGAAGAACTTTTCAGCCAACATCACCCCAGCTAATGTCCTCAGAAAATGCAAGACTTAAAGGCTAACTACTGACAAACCCATTGACTAAATACTTTAGCGAATCAGCAATCTACTTCCAGTGATCAAGATTAGGACAATGTGTTTCCAAGCCTAGAGAAAGACTCCAACATTAGCACAACTCAAATGTTATTATCTATAGCAGGAGGTTGAACATGCCTTTGAAAAGGGGTTGACTAAATTTGCTTATTGTTATTATTACTATTATTAAATATTTTTGCTTCTAGGAGCTTCAGTTGCAATCTGGACTAAAGGCGAATATGGATGTCCAGGGTGGTCTAGCTATTGACATTTCAGGTGCAATGGAGTTTAGCCTGTGGTATCGTGAGTCTAAAACCCGGGTGAAAAATCGGTAAGCATATGTATAATATTCTATGCAATGAACTGCAGAGATATGCTTCTGGAATTGTTTAGCTCTCTGACTTTTCAAAATCTATGTTTTCTATTTGTAATTATTAAATCATAGAGTTGGAAGAAACCATGGGAAGTCATTCTCTCCATAGCTTCTCATGAGCAGGCCAGTTATCTGATCAACTCAGCCAAGAATCATCATGCTTTTAAAGACATCTGTCCACAGCCAGCTTGTCCCGTGGATGAGAAGTTCATCTTCTCTTGGTATTCCACATCAGTAATTGACAATGTTGTCAGAAAATATGACTCCAAAGCAAACTTTTTAGTTTTCCCTCTTGTTGGGATTTTTTTTTTTTTTTTTAAAGATTTTAGCTGTCAGAGAGAGAGAGAGAGAGAGCAGAAGCAGGGGAAGCTGCAGGGAGAGGGTGAAGCAGGCTCCCTGCTGAGTAAGGAGCCCAATGCAGGCCTCAGTCCCAGGACCCTAGGATCATGACCTGAGCGGAAGGCAGCCACTTAACCAAGTGAGCCACCCAGGCATCCCTCTTGTTGGGATTTTAAATCTTTACCCCTTTGCTATCTTCAGTGGAGAAAAATAAAAAGATGGTCACTTTTGTGTAGAATCAAAGTCTTAAGAGTCCTTAAGTCTTTTCATTAGCATTCTTTTTTCTAAACAAAATGTTCTCAGCTCCTTTAGTTTTTCTAATGTACGTGTCGAATCAAATGGACGTGTTTTATTTTGAGCATAAGACAATGTTTCTGAACCAGTGTGATAATCAGAATTATTCTTCTGTTTGTTGTGGAATCAAAGAAAAGGAAATGGAAATGCAATTGATTTTTACCTTTTTTTGATATTTAAAGATATTGTGGGGCAGAAGTGAGAAGGAGTGATAAAATTAAAGATTTGATTTCTATGAAACTGTGGCTAAAGGAATTGAGAAATCAAAAGGCAGCACATTTTAATGTGAAAGGTGACCCACAGTTTTACTAAAAGGAACCAAAGAAGAGAAATGGAACAGGCCATCAGAGGGATCAGCAGTGTAATTTAGGGCTTCTGGGTGAATCCGTGTTCTTCTTTTTTGAAGTATTTTCTAGATAGAAGTTCCCCCAAATTAAATGGAATTGAATTCTTTGCAGAAAGAAATCAACAAGAGCCACACCCAAAATTATCTGGATTTTTATTTTTATTTTTTTATTAACATATAATGTATTATTTGTTTCAGAGGTACAGATCTGTGATTCATCAGTCACAGCGCTCATCATACACAATTCACAGCGCTCACCATAGCACATACCCTCCCCAATGTCCATCACCCAGCCCCCCCATCCCTCCCACCCCCCTCCACTCCAACAACCCTCAGTTTTTTCCTGAGATTAAGAGTCTCTAATTATCTGGATTTTTAAAAAGGACACAGTATCCCTAAGAACCTACCAGTATCCACACTGTAGCCAGTCTATCTTTAATTTTTCATTTGTTCATTTAAAAAATATCTCTTAAGCCTTTGTTGAGCGCAAGATATTAGAAGGTATGGTAAGGGATTCAGGGACTTACATGAAACCACCTCTGACCTACTTTTACACTGACAACAACAAGAGCGGGGACTTTAATTTGCACAGCCTAACTTTGATAGTATCCGTCTATCAGAAAAGCCTGGGCATAGAACTGTTTTAACTGGGGAGGCAATTTCCCACAATTTCATTCAAAGTCTATATAATTAAATTAGAGTGATCCTAGAGGTAAGCCTTCTCCTGGGATTGTTTATCCTCTTCATCATCATCCAAGCCACGTTCCCTCGTCAACGCAATCTGCCTACCCAGTTCTCTAGGCAACTATTGGGGAACCCACCATATTTGTCCTTCCTGGAGCAATGCATTGTACACGCCCCACTGTAGGAATAGTTTTTGGTGACACAATATTTTTTCAAATATCTTGGCAAACATAGACTTAATGTCACTGGGGACCCTTTGGAGAAAGTAATGAAATGGAATGGAAGTAACTCCAAAGAAGCCCACAGAGATAGTTACTAAGAAAATTGTTATGAACGTCAGTCAGCTGTCTTTGTGAGTTTAGGCTTTGTTTTAAGCTAGCTCGGGTATTTCTGACTTCCTGAAAGGATCAGGTTCCAGGCACATTTTCCCCTTGGCCCTTGGTATGCCCATATCACATAGTAGTACCTGCTAGACACTTCATTCCCACATCTGGAATTAAGGCCATGGGCAGGCGCAGGGGAAGGGCAGACCTTCACTGCCTCATCACGGGGACTAACCAGGCCCTGATTCCCAGCAGAACTCTGAGCACGTTTAGGTCACAGTAGTCTTTTACGTGGTTCCTTCCAGTTGTGAGTTCAGACCCTGTGAAATTAGAGCTATTGGTTTAGATCAGTTAAATGTGATATTAACAAGGTTTTGTGGGGGGTTTTTTTGTTTTTTTTTTTTTGGCCTAAATCTCTAGGGTGGCTCTGGCAATAATTGGCAGCATCACTGTGGACTCCTCTTTTGTGAAAGCTGGCCTGGAAATCAGTGCAGAAACAGAAGCAGGCCTGGAGTTTATCTCCACAGTGCAATTTTCTCAGTACCCATTCTTGGTTTGCATGCAGATGGACAAGGATGGAGTTCCGTTCAGGTAAGACCCAGTGCTCATGGAATGTTCCTGTGCAGTCTCCAGTTCACCAGAAACTTGTGACCAGTTTTGAGCATTTAGTTTTCAAAATGGTAAAAATACAGTGAAACATAAATTTCCTTTAAATAAATAAAAGAACAAATGATAAGGCTTTAAAAAAAGTCAGTTTCTAGGATACCAAGAAAATATGAAGACTAGTTCATTTTATTCTGGGGATAATACTGTATTCTAGTCCAGAAATAATTTATGAAGGTAACAAAGGGATTTGATTTACCCTAAGAGTTGCCATGTAGTTTCAGCAAAAATAGTGGACATACACTATCAGCTAACTTCACAACTATCTCCTAGACCAAAAATTCAAAACAAAACACCTGGCAATCAATTACCATGGTTTAAGAGCCCAAATTAATTCATAGTTTTTAGGTAATCATACAACAGCAACTTGATCTTGTTTAAGTTTTGGCTTAAGCTTGAGAGTTTGAGATTTTGAATTGAAAAAAAAAATTTTTCAGTAGAATTCTTAGTGTCTCAAATACCAAATATATGATCGTTCATGTAAGCTGCCTATCACTTCTTCTACCCTACAGCTTCTCATTTACACTGTGTCCTTTGAATCTTATAATGGTTATTTAAAACAATACTGTCACATGGAAGTAGAATGCTTTGGTTAGCATTGACTCTTCTATTAGTTGTAGAGGTCTCCCTGACACATTATTAACCACGAAGGCAATTGGTATATTTAAAACAGCAAGCATATCTTACATCATCTCCTTTGATAAGTAGACCAGAGTTAAGCACTTTCTTTACTGTACTGACATTTCATGATTCATATCAGGAATGTATAAATGATACCAGTACAAATAGGAGTAGGTTATATTTTTACAGAATGAAAGATAGTAGATTATAATCAGAATATTAAGCTGTTGTTAACTTATATTAACTTATGTTTAGAATAAGCCTCCATTAATGAATTAAAAAAAAAATCAACATTTCAGTGGTCAAAATGCAGTGACCACCAAGCCAGGCTCATGGCTAACTGGTTTCTTTCCACATTCCACTTGGCCCAGAGCCCTAGGAATGTTTGTCTGTCAGCATTCTCAGCCTAAATCCAATTGGACTTGCTACTTACTCAAAAGGGGAGTGCTCCCAAGGTGGGGCTCCTGGAATGATGGGTGGGAGACATAGCAAGGCCTGCAAAGTTTAACAGCATCTCCAAAAAGCTGAGAGGAATTTCGTCCTTCATTCTAGAAAAATGTATGGTAGGACTCCTATATTCTAGGCATTCAAAGTATATCTGTTGCTGTAGAAATTAATGGGAAGAAAACAATGACCCCATTCATGGGAATGGAAGTTGGTAGTCTTTGGCACTCCCATCCTTTCTCAAATTGCTTTGAAACAGAAGCTTCAAGCGTACACTCAGTCAGTAGCTTGGCTCTGAGGGCTGTGGGTCCCTTTAGTATGTGTGTAATTTTGTTATTTTTGCTGTCATTATGCAGGCAATTTGAGACCAAGTATGAAAGGCTGTCCACAGGCAGAGGTTACATCTCTCGGAGAAGAAAAGAAAGCCTCATAGCGGGATCTGAATTTCCACTCCACCAAGAGAACTCTGACATGTGCAAGGTGGTGTTTGCCCCTGAGCCCGAGAGTAGTTCTGGCGGTTGGTTTTGAAACTGATTGGTAAGGTTTCACTTGGATCTGTCTCCGAGAAGGGATACGATGTGACATGCCTATATACTTGCTCTCTGAGAGCACAGTGTTTACATATATATCCGTATTTAAGATTTTTGTAAAAAGCTCTGAAAAACCTCAAATGATTAAATTTGGGCCAATTCCATATGCTACCGATAGTGTCATCTTGAGCCAACATATGTGACACTTCCAGCAACATTCCTGGTTTTGGTACCTCTGTCAAATCCCATTTGGTACAGTGAGAAGAGTGTTGTTCTGAGAAGAAATAATTGTCTGTAAAACACAAAACAAAACACACATACCCTCAGGAGAACCCAATTTTGTTTCAACGATTTTCAATCAGCGTGTAGGAAGCCCCCCATAGGACCTTATTGCATGGCTTGTTTCTACCAAATATGTTGCCCAATCAGGGGAAAAAAAAAAAAACAGACCCTTTGGGGGGAGGGGATAAGACTTTTTAAAGACTTTTGTCACAGCTTCAAGAGTGGATATTTATCTCGTTTATCATGAGTTTTACTAAGCATTGAGGTAGAAGGCACACAGAATTAAAGCACAGCATCATCTTTCTGCTGACCACAGGGTCAGATTGCTAGAAGAAAGCCATTTCACCCTCTGCCTTCTGCCCTGCGAGAACATTGGACTTAGCACGTAAGAGTTAGAAATACAAACTTCAGAAATTCCATTTGATTTTGCCTGTGCTGTGTCTCTTTGAGACTGTAATGTGGAACACTGTCCTTTATAAGGGACATTTCATATGTTCATTATTTTTTCTTTCATTCAAGCGTTTTGTGGTGGATGTTCTAGTCTGTTTGACTATAGTCTGTTCAAAAACCAGAATGGCCAAGACAATTTAATACTGCTTTTAGAAACTGATGGATTTGGACTTCTAAAATATGAAATCAAGAAAAGATCGTCTTTATTTGTACAAATTAAAAGAGCCTTGTTAAACGTTTTCAAATACCTATTAATAAACCAGATGTATGTGTTTGTGGTAATAAGCTCCAAACAGGTAACAGGTGCTCATTTGTCCATTAAGTACACACACACACACACAATGGAAGTTTAGCTAGCCCACCACTGGTTGTAAATTTTAAATGATGTGTGATGAAATAAATATATGGACATCCTATTGAGTTGTCTTTGTCTTCCATTACTTTGAACACCACATTTCTCTGTTTCTGCCACTTTCTGAGCTCAGCCACATACACGATTAGGCCTCTGCCACTCTATAGGACAGGCTGGATTCTCTAATAGGAGGTCAGAGCCCTGTGGAATATGAACCACAGATTACCAGCAGTCAGAACCTCTTCAGTACCTGTAAACTTGAAAACGAGCTCTAATTCCAGTTTTCATAAGGCTCTGGGCTGGCACCTTTATTGTGATGTTACTGAGAAGAGAGACAGGGATCAAAAACTGAAGGGGGGTGGATTGTCATGGGTGGTGGCATTGGCCTTGGAAGAAGTACTCTGTAAAGCTACCCATGCTACAGCAAAAGCAAGTTGACCTCAGGCACTAAGCCAAAGATGTCATGGGCCAAGAAACCTCAGCCATGTGATGCTTAACACATCACAACTGCTTCTGTAAAATGCAAAATAGTAATTTACTCAAGAGTGATGAATGTGGCATCCTGGACATTAGTATTATGCTACTTCCCAACAGCTTGTGTGCCTGGCCCAGTCAAACATTGCTGCCCATTTGGAGAATGGATAGCACTTAGCAACTCTAACTTGCTCCAGAGAAACAAGAAACCTGAAGCATAGGACAAACACTGATTTCTTTCTGGATGAACAAGGTAGAAATCTAAGAGGGCTGGAGTGATTGTCCACGTTTTGAAATGACATCCTGGAGCCAGAAATATCACCATAAGCCTCTCTTGCTGTCTCTAATCCTGACCACTTCACTGTTTCAAACATCAGTGTCCAGACAGCTTTGTCCTCTGCAAAGGTGTCTGCCAGAGAAATGCACTGCCCTCGGACGTGAGTCCTCTGCCCTGTCAGCTTCTTCCTGCAAACCTGAAGGATTTAGCCTGGCTGCATTTCTTCTGTGAAGTGCCTACTACCATTCCCTGTATCTATTAGATCTCTGCCCATGACAGTTTGCTCTCTGCCTTTCTGAACCTGACCGCCTTCAGAAATACCTTTAAAGCTAACACTTATTTAGTGCTTGTTATGTGGCAGGTATTTTAAACATCATATATATATATTAAATAATTTAATTCTCACCATAACTATATTGAATAGGTAGCATTATTTCCATGTTATAGATCAGCTCTGCCCAATAGAACTATAAGGCGAGCCACAGAAGCAATTTTAAATTTCTAATAGTGACTTTAAAAAAATAAGCAGAAACCAGTGGAATGAATTTTAATAATATATTTCTAATCCAATATATGCAAAGTATCATATCAACATGTAATAAATACAAAAAGTATTAATGGGATATTTTGGGGGAGGATTAGATCTTTGAGTGGTGGTATATAATTTGTAATAACACATCTCAATTTAGATTAGCCACATTTCAAGTGTTCGATAGCCCTATATGGCCAGTGGTTACTGAATTGGATGGTACAATTATAGGTGGAGAAACTGGGGCATAGAAGACATTTAATTTACCCCACAGAAGACATTTTCTCGGCTAGAAAATGGTAAAACCAGGATTCAAATATAAGTGGTCTTTCCCAGGACCTGCTCTGTGAATTCACTATACTATATTTTCCAGATCATTTTGGTTTTCAAAAATTTGCTGCTAGAAGAATCCAGACAGTAGTTATGAAAATGGCCAACGTGGGACAGTAGTGATAAGGCTTTAAGCTGTATTACAAAATTCTGGAGCGCCAGTGCCCTTTCTCTGTGGGTCTTGTGTCTCCTTCTCTGATAGTCCTTGTCCACTTAGAGACCTCTATTTTTATTCTTTGCCAAGTAACACTTCCTCCATGAAGAGTAGTACAGTTTTAGCTTTAAATTTAGGTATTTGATCCATTTTGAGTTAATTTGTGTATACTGTGTTTAGTAGGAGGTCCAAAAATGTTTCTTTGTATTTGGATATCCAATTGTCCCAGCAGCATTTGCTGGAAGATAATTCTTTCCCATTGAATTGTTTTAGCAGTTTGGCACTGCTTAAAATCGATCGGCTATAAACAATCATTTCCGGATGTCAGTTTTATTCCATTAATCCATATGTCTGTCTTTATGCCAGTACCATACTGTCTTGATTACTGTTCCTTTGTGGTGTGTGAGTTGGGAAGTGTGAGTTCACCTACTTTGTTCTTTTTCCAAGATTGTTTTGGCTCTTGTGAGTCCCTTGAGTTTCCATATGGATTTTAAGATCAGCTTGTCAATTTCTACAATGCTAGCTAGGAATCTGACAGGGACTGTGTTGAACTTGTGTATCAGTTTTAGGAATATTGCCACTTTAATGTTAAATGCATGAACATGAGGCATCTTTCTACTTACTTAAATCTTTAATTTCTTTCAACAGTGTTTTATAACTTTCAGGGTATAAGTTTTACACTTTTTTGTTAAATTTATCCCACACATTTTATTCTTTTTGATGCCATTATAAATGAAATTGTTTTCAAATTTCAAATTGCTTTCAGATCTGGATTGTTCATGGCAAGTGTACATACATACAGTTGATTTTTATATATTGATCATGAATCCTGCAACCTTGCTGAACTTACTAGTTTTGGTAGGTGCTTAGGACTTCTTATGTAAAAGATAATGCCATCTGTAAACAGAGATTGTTTTACTTCTCCTTTCCAATCCGAATTTCTTTAATTTCATTTTATGGCTAGATTGTCCTGGCTAGAATCTCCAGGACACTGCTGAATAGGAGTAGTGAGAGTTGTCATAGCCAGGATGACAGTGCTCATGAAGATGGTGATGGGGAGTAATAGCAGTGATTGATAGTCACGATCACAGAACATAAAAGGAAGGCTCACATCATTTGGGAATGGCTCTGGTTCTGTTTTCACCAAGTAATATACTTGAAAATTCATAAAATCGTATTTGAAAGCTTAAAACATTTCAGTAGTCTAAATGCCCTCCCTAAATACAGGGCGGGGGAGCAGAACTTGAAATCTTCCAGATTCCCGGATCAACTGAAGCTTCACTACTCTTCATCCGTTTAGTAGTTAACTAAAAATCAGTGGGGGTGGCAGGGAGTGAGACAGGGAGGCCTGGTTTGGAATTCTAGTTCCACCACCTGCTGGTTGAATGATCTTGGGCATGTGACTCAGTCATCATCTCTAACATGGGTATGATAATCTCTGTTTCACTGGGTTATTTTAAGTTGAGATAATGCATGTAAAGTACAGTGCCAAGCATAGAGTAGCATTTGATAAATGTTTTCTACTATCATTAATGTTGTTTTTAATATTAGAGATGTAGCGAGCAATGTTCTTACTTATCAACAATCAGCTTTGATCTTATTTATTAGCAAAGAGGTTCACTGGCACTTTATTCTACCTTTACTTTGCAACTAGTTGGAGAGCACAGTGGTCCTCTAACTCTTGGGGCTTAGTGCAGTATGGCTTGGATATCTAAACCTCTTGTATGCAGCGTGCAGGAAGGCAGGAAGCAGGGCAGTACAGCAGCGAGGCCGATATGGGGTAAGATACTCCTGCATACCTGCAATCTCACCTTTTCCACATGCTCCTGCTATATAAACCTCCCAGCCTCTCAGCTTCTTCATCTGTAAAATGAGCAGCCACTCATAGGTTGTTGTAAGGATGAAGTAAGGTAATGGGCTAGTGCCTGGCACGTAGCATGCACTTAGTAAGTATTCCTTAATATTAACTTTTAATATGTGGTCCTATAGAACTCCTGAATAAAGCAACATTTTAAATTCTAACTCCATGGAGTGAATGTATTTTCTGTATTTTCACCCATGAGCATCATGGATTTTAGGAAGATTATCAGGTTTGCTTATTTGCTTATCATGAAATCACTAGTTTCACATTATAAAAACCATTTTCATATTTTGTAACAACGTGACCTTCACCCACTTCTCCACATGCCCAAGTTGACTTCAGATTTTACTGATTCTTTCTTTACCAAATTGCTTTGCTTTTGTTCTCTGTGACTGTGATAATTACCAAGAGGAAAGAGTATTTTCATGAGAAAGCATAGAATGAATCTAAAATTCAGCCATAAAATAAACAAGTTCCAGTAGAGTTCTTGGAGAAAATAGTAAGAGGACTCCACATTATAAATGAAATGGACAGCATTTGAGAGGGAAGCAAACATTGGGAAGAAGACTGAATCTCAGCTCAGTCCTCATCCTCCTTCAGGAACTTGAACACAGTGTTCTGTGTCTAAACTTCTACGTCTTCTTACTCACCACCCCCCTCACTATCAGGTTCTCTTTCTTTGTCAGGGACCCTGCAGGCACAGAGTCGCTGTGTGAAATGGATGGCACAATCAACCTGGGTAATTTGAGAAGAGCTCAATGAATGTTATAAAGATAGGAGCAGGATAAAGGGGAGCCACAGCGGATGGTGCACCACACTGAGGCTCATAATGATAGGGAGCGTGAAAGGTCAAGGGAGAGAGTAATCTCTGGAACCCAGAGAACATAAATGGTATGGAGCTATGGCTTTGAATTAAGGAACACAAGCAGCCCTCCCCCATATCCCCCGGAGGTAACCAGGGAAACAAACACCGAGACCTCATTTTCTTTCCTTCCTCTGATCTCCCGTCTGTGGTACCCCCTGGCTGAAACCAATCAGAAGCCAGAGGCAAGACTGCCTATTGATCCAGACTAACTGGAACGGTGTTAAGGGTAGAGAGGGGTTTAGAGGGAAGAGGGAAAAAAATCCATCCAAGTTTACATGATAAGTCCTTCCATGTAATTTATTAATCGATTTAATCAGCCATCTTATACAACGTGGTGGGTCTATCAGGATCAAGAAATGTACTAGGTTTAAAAAAAAAAAGTAAAACACGTTGCCTCACCTCAAGAAAATTGGTGAGGTGAAGGAATTAATACAGCTAAAAATAGTTTAGCACAATGCTATAAATGTTGTGAAAGAAATGTGTTCAAAATCCTCAGAGAACATAAAGGAGAGAAAGATAAGGAGGCCAAGAAAGATCAAGGAGGTAAAATGTGAGCTGGGCCACGCGATTTCTT